GCGGCCGGTCGCCGGGGCTTGGTGCTGTTTCGGTGCTCTGTGGGGCTGGGGCGTTTCGGTCGGCGCCGTGGGGGGGCTGGTGTTCGGTGCCCGGCCCTACTTCGGGGTGGCCGGCTGCCGGCGGGGCCCGCGGACTCGTCCCCGCGGCTCCCCGGGGCGCCGGCATGGCGGTGGCTGGGGGGCTTCTTCGTGGCTGTCTCTCCTCCTGCCTTGGTGGGGTCTGGTTTCCGGGGCTGGCCCCGCCTTGGTGCCTTCGCTTCTGGGGTCCCCTTGGGCGCCTGGGGCTTTGGGTCTCCCGGCGCTGGACTCAGTGCTCTGGGGGGTGTGCCTCTCCGGCTCTCCACAACCACTATTGAGCATTTTTTCTATGGTTAAAACTTTACATGCACAAGTTCACCCTCACAAACAACTACAGGTGCTAGGCTTCAGGTACTTAGAGATTCACTTCCAAACAGAAACCCCACATTCATATCTTCAGGTAACACAGAGTACATGTCAGACTTAATAATATTACGTTAGCGATAGTTTCAAGGTGTTTGCTTTATTGTATATCTCGTACCATGTTTTTTGGTTGTGCTGTTCTTTTTTTTTTTTTTTTTTTTTCCATCTCATTACAGGTGTTGAAGCAGACTGAAAATGTTTTGTCATTGTCTCCTTCCTATCTCCTCTTTCTTTCATCTTTTGTCCTGTTTTTTTCTTTTTCTTTTTCCTTCTTCTTCTTCTGTTTTTCTGCTCTACTTACATTGCAGTGTCCATATGAACTGTAAAACTCCCTGCATAATTATAATAAAGCAATTTATATACATGAAACAAGTGGAGCAGTATGGCAATTGCCATACCGCTACACTTGTGAAAGTAAAATCTGTTGGGCTCCTTTTGGCATCAAGACAATTATTCTTATTGCCACCTTGCCAGACAGGACACTGTAAAAAAAAAAAAAAAAAAAAAAAAAAAAAAAAAAAAAAAACTAAGCATCTTATTTAAACTAGGTTGAGCTTTATTGACATTATTTTATGTTATCAAATATTTTTTACAGTGTTAAATAAAAAAAAATACAATTAATCTTCAACATCTGACCATTTCTTAATAAAAAGGTGTTCGGGTCCTAATTTTCCTTTTTTAGATGATTTCAGTTCTCTATTAAGCTTTGCTTATTTATCATAAAAAAGTAGAAAACATGCTCTGAAGCAGCAATTCCCTTTGCATCTTGAAACTCCTTTTCTTCCACCTCACCTCAGTGCTTCCCGATCTGCAGGAAAGCTGAGGCCAGCACACAGTGCCAACAAAGACCATCCCTGTGCGCTCTCCCTTCCTGGGTTATGGAGCAGAAACTCTGAGTGCAGAGCCTGCTAATATACACTATGTGATAGAAGGGGAAAGCACGGCTACAGTTGGTCAATACCTATGATACAGCTCATCAGTTGGAAGGATATAAAAATCTAAGAAGCCCAAGAGGCAGAAAAGTCACGGTAATGAGAATAAAGGGGCTTTAATTACAGATAAATGCTGATCTAGGCTGAACTCATTACCTACAACAATCCGCTGGAGATTCTTCTGATCACTGTGGAATGAGTTTGTGCTAAATTAAAGACTCCACTGCATATGCTGGCATTAAGCAATTTCAGTTATTTCCCAAAATTAACAAACTCTTTCATGTTGAGTATTGGAAAATTAAGAGTAATTGTAGATCAGAAAATGTCTAAGAATAACAGGTGTTCAGGACAGATTTGATTGGAGAGTGTTGGCCTAGTGGAATCATCGCCGTATCCTGAACCTTTATCACATGTTGTATTTCACATGGGGCCAACCCAGATGATGTTGCTTATCGTTACGCCACTGTGAGGTTCATCACCCTGCTAAGCAGAATCATCACTGGAAATTGTGCAGAAGGGTAGGGAAGCTAGTATTTTTATGACTTTCTGAAGTTTCATGATGACAGAGGCTGATTGTAAGGACATGACGCAGTCTGCTCATGCGCTCTTTGTTATCCGAGAACCGAGCCAGAACTGAAGCGCACCTAGCCCTACTGTTGAAATAGTACCAGTTTAGGTTCGGTTGTGTCTGACACTCAACATTTATCTCGGTTACCATGCTCGGACCGATCTCAGCACTGTTTAAAAAGGGGCGTGTAAATGGGGCTTTTGACTGTGACTTTATGTTAAGGGCCGTGGCTCTGTAGGTTTGGACTTGTGCTATATTTTTCCCCTTTTATGATAATTGATTGACCATATTTAAGGGTATCAGAGTAAAGAGGACCTAATTTTAACTATTTTCCTTCCACTTCTATATATTGAACTTCTGTTTCTTTATCTTAAACAAAACAAAAATACAGGTAAGAGTTGAGACTTCATCATTTGCTGGCTCTTGGTGACTAATTCCTCTTTGTGCAGGTAGAAAACATCATCCTCTGACCAGAAGCGTAGCCAGAAATTATTTATAAGGGTGGCCAGGAAATAACCAACATTATATTGAGGGGTGGCCGACAGTAAATAGTCACCAGAACCTCACGGTTAATCTACACTGTTCCAAAAGGAAAATTAACGAGCAAAACATGTATTTTCTAAATAAAGACTAGCTATACTATCCTATAGCTTTTGCTAACAAATAGACGCATATATGTAAAAATCCGTAATTTCTAGATAAAAGGTATAGTGGATAAAACTCAGTTTTGCGTTCTTGTGCGTAAATCCTTTCCATCGTCATTACTTACCTACTTATATCAGTAAAACTTCTGCATAAAATTGATATTTACAAGCACTAATATCTACATAAATTGATTATTTGATAAGTTTTTATTAAAATTGTTATTTATCTTTGATTTCTAGATGACTAGTGTAACCCACAATTAGTCAGAGACTTTTATTTTTTCAGGCCCACATCCTGTGTTGCCCTAATTAGTTAGTTTCTTTAAAGCCCCGCCTCAAGCATGCAGTTAAGGATCCTCACCTGTTTCTGCTCTGATTGTGGCTTGCTGCTGGTGTCTTCTCCATGTGTTCATCTGATATCTTTAACGCTATTGATTTGATTGCTGGGTGAGTTTATTTGATACAATCTTATTTTTCCTTGTGGTATTTTTTGCTCAATTGCTCATTAGAGTGTAGTTTTATTAGAATTATTGGCATTGTTTACCTGGAACATCGCTGGGATTCTGGCAGAGCTGATTGTGGCTAAGTACACCCCACTCTCTTTGAAAAGGTAACTTGCTTGCTGAATGTTGTGGATGTTTGACAAGTTTACATTGATTCTGGAGCAGTATTTAAAAGCTTGATCTGAACAATGTAGCTACACTTAAGTTGATATTGCAGAGAATATATATATATTTTTTTTCCTTTCCCTCGCCCTGCTTGAGTATTTGACAACTTGTTCTATTTTTCTTGATTGATATTTTGAAAGTGCACTTAACTTTAAATTGACTAAGCTTGAAATATGATACTTGTTGTTTTACTTTATTGGAATTATGGTTAATTTAACCTGATTGAATGTTTGTCTAATTATTAGAAATATAATTATTTCATTTGTATTTAGTATGCATAAATGAAATGCATAAATTTAAGAATTGTTTTGCTTGTTATATTTGCATTTATTTGTTTTTGATTAAACTTAATGGATTGTTCTAACCTTTCAGTTTTTTTTTTTTTTTTTCTTCCTTTCGGATCAGATTCTGATCTGGATCTGATGATGGTGAGCTAGAAATGGACTATGGACTGTATGATTTTGAAATTAATTTGTTTTGAGTCGATTCTCTTGTGTCTCATCATGTTGCATTCATTTTCTGCTTTATTCAATCACTTAATATACATCCACGCACTTTTTTTCACACCTCAGGCTCCTTAACAGGACACTCTTTTGATGCTGCTTTTGTAGCCGCAGTTAGCTGCCTAGCCCATAAAGCTGTGTTCACACAGAATGCAGCAGGAGCAATAAAAACATCTGCTGCTTCCTTTTTGCCGCTTGTACCAGTTTAGTTCTGAGCTACTCTATCCTTTCTTTGCCCTGCAGCTATATTTGCTGTGATAAGTGGGAATAAAGTAGTTTTAATATGTTTTTAAGTGGGGAAAATCCACCTGAAAACTTAATTAGTGCAGTCAGTCTAGATTACCATCCTGCCTTCCAATATTTCTGTCAGAGCCGCTCAAACCCCCACGCATCGGCGGTGCGCTGTCAGTAGGAATCTCATTCAACAGCAGCCTATGGCCCGGTCACCTCCTCGCGGTTCGCCTTGGCGGCTGGAAAGTAGTTTTCATGAACGTAATCCAAACTGCAGGCACCAGGATAATAAAAATGAACATGTTTTGCTGGCAGGTTTCAGCATTTTAAGTTAATTTAGGCATTAATAAGCTTTCAGAGGAGTGATCATAGTGCTCTGTACCATCAGCGATGTGTCTTTCTCCCTTCCAGCTCCCAGAAGTTCAATTTTTCCATCTCGAGCAGCAGCGCGTTTGCTGCGCATCAGATACTCAAACGCTCCCGACACGCTGCTTCAGCTGCTCAAACTGCGCTGCGGGACATTTTGCTGCGCCTTGACGCGTGTCAACCATTGACTTTGCATGTAAACTCCCTGCTCCTGCTACGTTCGGTGTGTTACACTTGCAGAGACACATATTTTTCTCTTTGCCCCATATAACACAAAATCTAGTTCTGAAAAGAGCATGAATTCCATACTTATCATCTTTGATGTTAGTATATAGATGTGCATAAATAACCACAAAAAATAAAATATTTGGAATATTCCACTTGAGAGTATTACTGTTGCCACCATCTGTATTAGAGGGGGGGGGGAAATGGTAGATTGGCTAAGGGTGGCCATGGCCCCCGATCTAGCTCCGCCCCTGCCTCTAACAGGTGAAAACCAGCTTTTACCCAGTGAGGGCGGAGATCCTTTGGATGCTGTAGGTGAAAAAGGCTGCAGGATGGATGCATGTGGGTGACAACAGGTGCAGCTCCAGAGAACAGCTGATATCCAGTTAGATTGAAAGAAAACAGGAGCTGTTTTTACTCACTCAGCGTAGCCGGTGGCCCACGGTAATCTCCTGGTTTCCTTCAGGATCAGGATGGGCCGCGCTACGTGGTCCGCAGAGCACTCGATCTCATCCGCGGAGAGTCCCAGGAACTCCGGTCTCATGTATGGGAACTTGAGCGGCAATTCCGAAGACTGATTCCCGCCCCCACCGGAGCTTCCCCCGGTCACGATCCCACCCATGAACCCGGCAACGGCCGACTTTACCCGGGTGATCATGTTGTTGCCGCCGCGGGGCGCCGGTGCGTCCGTCGGCCGATGCGCGGCACCGCGGCTCCCTTTCCCCGGATTCCCCCCCAGCTCGACGACAGGACTGGAAAGGAAGCGTCGGAGGATGCGGAGGGGATGGAGGTTAAGGTCTCATTGATTCAGAGGAGAAGACAGGGATATAATAACACCACCGATGATGCTGGAGCGCCTCCATAAACAGTCATTGATTGCAGCGTGAACGCGGAAATACAGTGCAGATTAGAGGGTCACGTGACGCACAATAGAAACCACTGCAAAAAAGAGTCTGCTCTATGCACAAACTGCATGCAAAAACACACACTGCATTTTACATCAAATATTAATAGCTCCACAATATTTAGATTATTGTTATTAATAATAAAATACAATCTATATTGTACCTATAAGCAGTGGGATTTAAAAGGACTTTGAATCCTCCATGGGGTTAGGCCTAATGGTTATTTTTTGCAGTGCAGTGAGCGGCTTAAGATCTTCACTGCAGGTTAAAGGTAAATCTGTCCCTCACAGCCTATGATATGGAAGTCCAATCCTGCCTTAATTAAAATATAAATGCTACAAAAATAAATAAGCATACAATTAATTGCCCCTCAAAATACAGTAAACAAATTATACAATGAGATATATATATTAGCTTCTTTGTTTATTGTTTGTTATATTCAACTTTATTTATTTATTACCTATTTAAGTATTCATGTGCATGTTATATATTTTTTTCTGGTTTATTCTTTGTATTTTTTTATTTTGTATTTTTTTCTGCCTGTCGTTTTTACGTTTCTGTATGCACTTCTGCCTCATTATGCAAATGAGGAAGGGTTGTTTCTTAAGGGCGCAACTTCTTCCCGTTGGTTGGTTAGCAGCCACCGGCCACAGTCACAACAAAGATGGCTACCTACAATGAAGCTGTCAGTGAGCTCAGACATTCTCCATACTATGAGAGCTACAATGCACAGTTGCATGGGTTTGAAAATTGCTGTCAGGCATAGGGTGATCCTAAAAATATAGCTTATTGCATCATAGGCATGGGCAATCACTGAGTATTTATGTTGGTTTATTTATTTATTATTTTTTTCTTCATTATTTGAACCCTGCACCCTGAAAAAGTGAGTTGCCTTTGGACAACTCAATTTTTTTTTCTCACGGTGAGCCATAGCACAAGTCCTGAGCTATCTCTATAGTTATGCTGCTATAGGTTTAGACTTCTGGAGGACATAGGGACCCCTATTTAGTCATTTTTCTTCATTCTATCTCTGTTCTCCCACTCTGCAGAATCTGTTAGTTCAATCTCTAACATTATGCTCTCTGCTTTTTCTCATAGTAGCTTTGCCTCGTCTGTTCCTGTTTGGCTGTGGCACCACCCTGGAGAGAAATATCAGCTGTGCTGCTGCCATCAACACCTTTGTTTATAGATATTGGAGATCGACCTGTTTTTCCAGTGTAGTCCTGTTTCTCTCACTATGACTGGCTGGATGTGCTCTCTTCATCCTCTGACATGGGAGCTGGCTCAGAGCTCATCTGCCTGCCTCTGTGTTTCCTGGATGGGGCCGCCTTTTACAGCTGCTTTTTGTATCTCTGCTTCTGTCTCCTTTAACCCATCGGCGTCGGCAGATGGCCGCTCACACTGAGCCTGGTTCTTCTGGAGGTTTCTTCCTTTTAAAAGGGAGATTTTCCTCTCCACTGTCACTATAAGCATGCTTTGTGTGAGGAATTGCATCCGAGTCAATGCAATAAACAGGTTTCTTAGATAGAAAACTTTTAATCTATTTGACTGTATTATCTGGTGAGCTGTAAAGTGCCTTGAGATGACATGTGTTGTGAATTGGCGCTATATAAATAAACTGAATTGAAAGTTGAATTGACATTTCAAAATGTCAGAGAATAAAAAAAAAGTATAAATTTTTCTTTTTAAAAAAAAAAACTGGAACCAGAAATAAAAAAAAATATATAAATTCAGGATGGCAGGTTGTACTAGTTTAAAAATAGGCCTTAATTGTTCTATTAGTCCTTGATTTTCCTGAATGTGAGGTGCTCATTGTGTTTAACAGAGAGATAGACTGGGGCAGCTGACCAGGATGTCTGGTAGAGATGATCAAATAAAGGGAAAAAAAACAACTGACAAGGCTTTGTCTAAAAAATCTGTCATATATATATATACATATATATATATATATATATATAAATAATGTCTGTTCAGTCAAGGTGTGGGATTAAGTGCTCGCTAACTTCTTAGAAGTAAAAAGGTGAGTGTTGTGTTAATTAACTTGTATTTTCTTATGGAATAGCTAAAGTCCCTGACAAAACATCGTTACTTATACAAATTAAACAACACTGTTTTACTTTCCCACCTTTTGTGCCTCCATAGCGACTGGGGCGTGTCTAGATGCAGACCTTAAATAGGTTACGGTTGCACCTGAAGTAGAGCTCCACCTCTCTAGCTTACATATATTCCCATTCAGCAGCCTGACAGACTAGCAGCACATACATTGGCTGTGGATCTCAGTCTGACGGGGTAGAGTAGATAAAAAGGAGCAGCAGCATTAGAGGGCTGTGAAATATGATCACTGGATTGCTCTGCTTGTGTCCTACTGTTGCTTCAGTGAAGCGGCACTTGAAAGCACTCAGCTGGAGAAGATTGACAGACCAGGTTCTTCAAGGTAAGGTTTTGTCTTCAACAGGATGGATATTTGGCAGCAGCTTGACAAAGCCATGATGGGAATTATTTTGCATCCAAGTAGGATGCAGTTCTTCATTTATACACACATCAATTTCAAACAGATGCTATCGGCATGGTATTGGATCAGCCAATATTGCACAGCCAGATTTTGGGTATCTGTATCGGGGCCGAAAAATGGAATCAGTGCAACACTTTTTTATATATATACACTATATTGCCAAAAGTATTTGCTCACCTGCCTTGACTCACATATGAGCTTAAGTGACATCCCGTTCCTAATCCATAGGGTTCAATATGACGTCGGTCCACCCTTTGCAGCTAGAACAGCTTCAACTCTTCTGGGAAGGCTGTCCACAAGGTTTAGGAGTGTGTTTATGGGAATTTTTGACCATTCTTCCAGAAGCGCATTTGTGAGGTCGCACACTGATGTTGGACGAGAAGGCCTGGCTCTCAGTCTCCGCTCTAATTCATCCCAAAGGTGTTCTATCGGGTTGAGGTCAGGACTCTGTGCAGGCCAGTCAAGTTCATCCACACCAGACTCTGTCATCCATGTCTTTATGGACCTTGCTTTGTGCACTGGTGCACAGTCATGTTGGAAGAGGAAGGGGCCAGCTCCAAACTGTTCCCACAAAGTTGGGAGCATGGAATTGTCCAAAATGTCTTGGTATGCTGAAGCATTCAGAGTTCCTTTCACTGGAACTAAGGGGCCAAGCCCAGCTCCTGAAAAACAACCCCACACCATAATCCCCCCTCCACCAAACTTTACACTTGGCACAATGCAGTCAGACAAGTACCGTTCTCCTGGCAACCGCCAAACCCAGACCCGTCCATCAGATTGCCAGATGGAGAAGCGCGATTCGTCACTCCAGAGAACGCGTCTCCACTGCTCTAGAGTCCAGTGGCGGCGTGCTTTACACCACCGCATCCGACGCTTTGCATTGCACTTGGTGATGTATGGCTTGGATGCAGCTGCTCGCCCATGGAAACCCATTCCATGAAGCTCTCTGCGCACTGTTCTTGAGCTACATGAAGTTTGGAGGTCTGTAGTGATTGACTCTGCAGAAAGTTGGCGACCTCTTCGCACTATGCGCGTCAGCATCCGCTGACCCCGCTCCGTCAGTTTACGTGGCCTACCACTTCGTGGCTGAGTTGCTGTCGTTCCCAAACACTTCCATTTTCTTATAATACAGCTGACAGTTGACTGTGGAATATTTAGGAGCGAGGAAATTTCACGACTGGATTTGTTGCACAGGTGGCATCCTATCACAGTTCCACGCTGGAATTCACTGAGCTCCTGAGAGCGACCCATTCTTTCACAAATGTTTGTAAAAACAGTCTGCATGCCTAGGTGCTTGAATTTATACACCTGTGGCCATGGAAGTGATTGGAACACCTGATTCCAATAATTTGGATGGGTGAGCAAATACTTTTGGCAATATAGTGTATATACAGGTGCTGGTCATAAAATTAGAATATCATGAAAAAGTAGATTGATTTCAGTAATTCCATTTAAAAAGTGAAACTTGTATATTATATTCATACATTACATACAAACTCATATATTTCAGATGTTTATTTTGTTTAATTTTGATGATTACAAATGACAACAAATGAAAATCTCAAATTCATCATATCAGAAAATTAGAATATTGTGAAAAGGTTCAAAATTGATGGCCCCTGGTGCCACACTCTAATCAGCTAATTAACTCAAACCACCTGCAAAAGCCTTTAAATGGTCTTTCAGTCTAGTTCTATAGGCTACACAATCATGGGGAAGACTGCTGACTTGACAGTTGTCCAAAAGACGACCATCGACACCTTGCACAAGGAGGGCAAGACACAAAAGGTCATCGCTAAAGAGGCTGGCTGTTCACAGAGCTCAGTGTCCAAGCACATTAATAGAGAGGCGAAGGGAAGGAAAAGATGTGGTCGAAAAAAGTGTACAAGCAAGAGAGATAACCGCACCCTGGAGAGGATTGTGAAACAAAACCCATTCAAAAATGTGGGGGAGATTCACAAAGAGTGGACTGCAGCTGGAGTGAGTGCTTCAAGAACCACCACACACAGACGTATGAAAGACATGGGTTTCTGCTGTCGCATTCCTTGTGTCAAGCCACTCTTGAACCACAGACAGCGTCAGAAGCGTCTTGCCTGGGCTAAAGAGAAACAGGACTGGACTGCTGGTGAGTGGTCCAAAGTCATGTTCTCTGATGAAAGTAAATTTTGCATTTCCTTTGGAAATCAAGGTCCCAGAGTCTGGAGGAAAAGAAGAGAGGCACTTCATCCACGTTGCTTGAAG